GCTGAAATCAATTAGAATTTGCAGTGCTCATTTTTAAAGGGGACGGAAATATTATAAAATGAGTTTCAACTATTTTATTTTATTATTTTATTTTATTATTTTTATTATAGTATTTTTATAAATAGTTAGTTTCTTAAATATACTTTATGTATTATATTGCTTTTACAAGTAATTTAGTAGTCACAGATAGATTTAGACTTTACCATTAAATTCAGCTCGAAGAAATCTTTCAAATGAGCTATAATTCATAACTATAGAACTCATAGTTTTAGAGTTGTCTTAGAAACAACTTAAAAACAGTTACTGTTCTTACCATTCTTACCATTCTTACCGTTCTTATCATTCTTACTATTCTTACCATTCTTACTGTTCTTACCATTTCTACTGTTCTTATTCTTAATTATAAAAAGCTATATAAACCCTCCCTTTTCCCTTTGCCCCAACTTAGGTTTGACCTCTGCAATCTTCTTAATATTAGAATTCTCTTAGCACAGAAACTAATAGATAGTCTTGTATTATCGATATTGTATTCTAAATAAAGTATAATCTTTGCTCTTTCATTAACTTTGTAACGAACTGCCACAGTGAAGTAATATTCCACTTGGACACCGTTGAGAGCCTCTCTTCCGTATCTTATGTTACTTGTGTTGAATCAAGAAGGCCGACACTTGTAATAGTACTATAATATGCTACTATACCTGTAATCTATCTGTAAGTTATTTATTTAAATACTCTATTTAACTAACCTATACTGTTATAAACTAATATTACTATAATATATAACTACTTATACTAGCTAGTTTATTGCAGATCTATTTATTAACTTTAGCTTAGGTCTTCTTGAGTTATATTATACTTAATATATTGTAAATATCTGCAGAGCTAGTTAAACTCGAAGCATATTTACTAGAGTAGCTTATACCTATTTTATAACTTATCTAGCTTAGACTCTTGTAGATGTTTATACAACTCAAGTTCCTATTGTAGCTCCTCACTAGTATTATTCACAGATTTTGCTAAGACCTATTATAAATTAGATTCTTTTAATTTAGTTAGCTACTAAACCAAGTTGGTATTACTATAACATATAGTAATTTTCACTACAATATAGACTTATATATATCTAATTTGATTAAAGTCTTTGAATATAGTTTCTTTTTAAGTCAAGTATTAGTCAGTATAACTATTAAAAGCTATACTACTTTACCAACTTAGAGTTTCAACTATACAGATTTTCTGCTTTTAGATCTTATCAAGATTTATTTATATAATATTTTGTCTCTTTAAATATTACGTTATACTTTAATATTTAAATAATATTAGTACAACATAATTTATAAAGTTACAATCCTAGAAATAAATAGGTTTACTATAAGTTGAGTACAAAGATTCAAATAATTATTCAAATTTGTCAATAGTAGAATTTGAATTCTAGATCTTTTATATAGTAGTTTGACAATCTAACTACTACACTAAAATTGCTAAACCTTTATTTTTATATTGTTTATATTATCTTATATAATAATTCTCTTAATAAAATGAAGGACAAGATCACCTAAATAGAAAAAAAAATATTTAGAAAATACAAATTAGTAGTTATTAGTATATATATTCTACTAAATAATAAAAAAAAAAAGAAAAAGATTTAATAAAAAGTAATTCAAAAAATAAGAGAATATAAAAGAGACAAAATAAAAGTTATAGTTATAGATAATTTTAACAATATTAGATCAAAAGAATTAGATTATAGCAAAGAAATTCTAAAAGAAAGCTATATTTTTTATACTAAGATAGTTCAAAATCTTAAAACTTAATAATATCTTTAGAAAGCTATACTTATATAAAAGAAATTATATATAATTAAATAAAATATCTTATATGAGAATAGATTATATATAAATATTAAATAAAATAAGTTAGTATAGTATTAGTTATAAAATAGTAGAAGCAGAGTATATTATAAAAAGTGATCACAATCTAGTTATAGCAAAGCTAAATACAGATATTATATAAAATATGAGAAAACTAGTAAAAGAAAAACAGCTAAAAGATAAGAAAAGAATATTAAAATTAATGAAACTTAAGAGAATGAATAGAAAAAAATATAAAGTAAAAATTAATAAAAAAATAATAAAAATATTAAAAATAGAAGCTAATTTAAAATTAATTAAAAAAAGATATAAAAACAAAGATATTAATAAAATTTAAGATATTATCTCAAATAATATAATAAAATAAGAAGTTAGAGCTCTTAGTACTTAACCAAAAAAGAAAAAACTTAAAAAGTAGCTATACTTCTAAGATAAAGTTAGAAAAAAAAAAGATAGTTCAGATGAAAAAAAGAAAAGAAGCAATAAGATATCTTGAAGTTTGGATCTTAAAAAAAGATGATAAAGAGTATAATAAAATAGTAATACTAATATTTTATATTATTATTTATCTAATAACCAAATTAGTAATACTTTTTTCTTTATATTTTTAAACACTAATTTTTATATTTTATATAATTAACTTATATAATATCTAATATTAAATAATACTAACTCTTTATAGTTTTATTACTTTTTTTAAAGTTATACAAAATTGTACTAATTATTTTACCTTTTTATAGTTTTATTACTTTCTTATACAAAGTTGTACTAATTATTTTAAGCTTTTAAACTAACATCTTATAGTTTTAGTTTTCTAATTATAGAATTTTTATTATTATCTTTAATAGAATTCGAACTTTAGTTTAGCAATTTAAAAACTTAACTACTAAGCTATTAATATAATTTAAAAGGTTTTAAAATTATTATAAGCAAATAAAAAGTTTAAAGAGTTTTAAAATTAGCATAAATAAATAAAAACTTAACTAAATTCAAAAAGTTTTAAAATTATTATAAACAGATAAAAAACTTTACTAAAATTAAAATTGTTATAAACAAATAAAAAACTTTATTTATGTTTAAAAAAACCGTTTAAATTATTATTATAAACAAATAAAAAACTTAATATATATATTCTTATTTATTATTTATTTGATAAAAACTTTATTTAATTATTTAAATAAAAAAAAAAAAAACAAATAATTTTTAATTTTTATATTTTTAAAGTTTAATTAATAAGCAGAAGCTAATGAATATATCTATATTTTTCCGAATGCTCGTAACTTAAAATTTTTATAATGACGTATCCCGTGGAAAATTTTTTGATATTTTAAGAGTGGCATGCCATAAGCGGCTCTCATGCCTACCTGATATTTTTGCGAATCTAAAAATACGATAAATATTAATATTTAATCACAAACTAATTTCGTTTGTTTGGGATTCGAACTAGTTACAACGCACGCACCTGCAATAAGAAAATTTAAATGAAAGTACTTTGCATTTATCGATATTAAAATTTTTGATTTATAATTGCAGAATCTATAGATATTGCCTGCTACAAAACCTTATCGCCTATTTACAGTAGCTTCCATCATGCATGATAACGTACTCAACCCGAGGATATTCTTGGAGCATAAGTTTCGTTTAAGGCTGAATCATTATACAAATAGGGATGTTAAAAGATTTAAGTCCGAGTTTGGAAACCAGTTAAAAAACTAAATCTTAATTATGTCATGTGAAAGTTGCATTCGAGTTTTTAACGTTAATTATACCAATATGGTTTAGTTTAGAACATATTTTGAACTATCGCTATATCGATATCAAAAATTAAAAATCAAATCAATAAACTAGAATAACGTTCGGGAAGACCCGAGTCACTAACAAATTTCGAACCATGACCGGATAGTCCTAATAAGTCCTTATATAACGATCGATAACAGGTTTGGGACCCGGTCCGATAAGACCACTAATCACAAATAAATTAAGAAACGTGTTAACGTTAAATATTGGGCGTTATTTTTGGGCGCCTGCTGTGTTTACATATTGAAGGGCGATAAACGTGGTAGCTGCATAAAGCACTCAAAAAGTGTTGACATGTTACACCAGCCAAGATATCTTACATAATTTACTAACTCTAAAAAGTATAATTTATTGAAAGTATAATGGCCAACCAAGAATTGTGTCACAATAAACTTTAGTACGTAATTGGTTAGTGAATTGCCGGTAATATTCGAATATAGCAAATTATTCAAAAAGGAATTTTGAAACACTGTGATTAGTAAAAATTAGGTGATTAGTGATGTAATAAAGTAATCAAGTCATTTTATTTATGGGATCTTTGCTAGGAAAATCACCCTTCGGGATTTTCCGAACGGACCAATTCGGAAAGACTTAGACCAGAACATCAGTTCTTATGTAAGTCGTCTTTTACCTTTATCGATGCTTTATTTAATAAACTATTATATCGGCAAGGTAAAAGATGATTTGCATATAAATAAGAACTGGTGTTCTGGTCTAAGTCTTTCCGAATTGGCCCGTTCGGAAAATCCCGAAGGGTGATTTTCCTAGCAAAGATCCCATATGTTACCCATATGTTAATGTCGGTTACGAAATTACCGGCGATTCAATAGGCTTACAATTACTGATCAAATAATCTCTTTTATTAGTAATCATGCTATATCACATGCCTGATTTGCTCAAATTTTATTTAACCTTATCACTTTAAATAATCACAAAAAAAAAAAAAACGTATAGTTGGTGATTTGCTATGTCAGTATGTAGACATAAAAGCTTTAATTACTGTACATCAAATAATAAATAATAAACGGTAGGAGTGAAAATCCATAAATTATCATAATAAATCATTATTATGTACAATTACGGATTTTCACTCTCACTGAAATTAAGATCATACATGATTTTTTATCAGCAATAATTCTAATATTTTATAGATAATGAAAACAGGATTTACGAAAAAAGACCCTTGTCTTTGGGTCAACACTACCTCTTATCGAAATATAAATCGGCTATCGCCCTTTGATCTAATTATAATTATTATCTGGACTAGATTCTCATGAGATTTGTCGCAAATTCAGAAATTGCAGGTTCTTTATTATATTTCAACGAATTAGTTTACCACACTTTTTTTTTCCTTCTTTTAATACCATCCTTTTTTATCATCTCTTTAAGCTGTTCGCGTTTTTCTAATTCACGTCCCAAAAGGTCGATTTCTTTAAATTCCTGTAATCAAAGTTTAGTTATAACTACGAATTATTCCAAAACTTTCAATAAATTTCAATAAATTTACTAATTGATTTTACCGATCCCACTTTTATATCGGATGTTTCATTTTGTGAAGGTGTTTGTGATGACTCAACGAATTCCCATACAGCTAAATCATCTTCATCACTACCTGAATTGGCCTCAGTATTAGGAGGAGCAGACAGACTTTGGGTTCGTTTAGTAGAGAAAAATGAAGAATCCAAATCCACTAATTGACTAACATCCTGATTTATGAATGTTTGTGAAATAGTTTTTTCAGTAGCATTCTTTAAAGATAAACAAGTCTTTGAATCAGAAAAAATTCGATTTAGGTCAAACATATCGCGATCTTTTGTGTGCAGTATTTTCTTTAAAATTGATTTTGTTAATAATTTGTTTTTGACAGTTAAGGGAATAGAATAAACAGAATTAACTAGTAATAAAATATTTACATTTTTTGTAATTTGATCCAATTTTCCTTCATCGAATGGTTCAGTCTTGTGTTCTTTGATGATATAAAATAAGATTTAATTATAATAAAACGATTAACCGAATTAATTTCTAAGCACTTACTTCTATCATAATTAGATAATTTAGCTTTATTTAATAATTCTAATGCTTCAGATACTTCCTTATCTTTGTCCTTAACTATAGCTTCTAAAATATTTACTTGTTCTTTATATTCTAACACAATATGCAACATAGGTAGTATAAAATGTTGATAAAGGACCGATTGCCCATCAAGAACGTCCGGATTTACCGTTTCTTGTGATAATGATATAATTTCACATGAAAACAACCATCGAAGAGACGCCAAGCCAAGATTTATTGATGTTTTTAAATTAAACTAATAATAACGATGGTATAATGACATTAGTTATTGATATACCAGTTATTACTGTATTAAATGACAAAGAATTATTGCCTTGTCATAGTCTAATTCTGCATCATAAGTTGAATCCTGTTTTTGATCTTTTAAAAGTTCGGAAAGAAGTGTTAACAAATTTGGTAATTGAAGTTCATCCGTAGTATCTAAACCTGTTTCTATTTCCTTAATAACATTATTTTAAATTAATACATATTAAGAATAAACATAAGAGTTATCAGTTATCTTTAGGATACCTTACTTTTGCTCGCATCATTATTTCTATACCTCTTAATTCTTCAAACCACACATGGCGTAGATCCGTAACGAGTATAAGATAAAAGTCATTTTTGAAAATAGATTTGATAAGGTAAGTTTTTTCACCTTTAGGTTCTATATTATCATTAATTTTAAAAACAACCCAATTCACGGAACTAAGTTCAAAACTATGATTATGAGTAAATGGCATTTTTACAACAAGGAGAGAGTTTGGATTATCAAAATTGATAGAAAAGTACAAGTCTCTCTAATTTGTGATGAAATTTTATGAGTGATAAATAAAACCATAATTATCATGTGATATTTGATTCCCTACGTAATTGTTAATTGCATTCTCAAAAGGCAGATTAATAACCTTATTAAGTCATATATTTTACGATAATACGATAACATATCTGATATTATTATTACGTAGATAAGGATTACCTGCCGGTACTTATTAGTACATACGATTGCTGTTTATTGTTTCCGATATTCGGAGTAAAGTAACCATTCCAATTCCAAAATTCGCCAAAAAAGGGTTCACTCTTAATTTTTTTTTACCATCATTATTGAATTTTCTCGATTACTTCATTGATTGCTGATTAACTATATTTGGCATCAATCATAGAAATTTCAAAGATGACACGATAATTGCGTTATGTTCATGTTGTACTGGGGGTATGTGTACGACTATTATTATACTTGTCGAAACTTGTCTCTTATTTTAAACTTTCTCTTTACCTTTATTTTTTCCTAGATGCATAGCTTTAATTAACGCTCCTTTTACCCAAAGTTTATAAGATAACTGAAAACTTTTACTTTTTTTTTTTATTCAACTT